GCCGGGGGGGCCCCGGTCTTCAGCCCCCCAAACCCACGTGGGGGCAGCGCCTCGTTGGCCGCCGGTGTCACTGGCTTACCGGTGACACCCCCAAGGCCACCCCACGCCTGGCACCCGCCGGTGACACGGTGAGCCTGGGTGTCCCCACCCTGGGGACGCAGGTGGGTGCCCCCCACCCTGACCCTATGCTTCAAAAGCCACCGTGTCCCTTCTACCTGCAGGTCCCCGGCCACCGCGTGTCCCAGGGACACGTCGCCAGTCACCAGGCGCCCCAAGGAGGTGTCCCCAGTCACTGGGCTCTCCAGGGACACATCTCCAGTCACCAAGCGCCCCAAGGACACGGGCGCCACTGTCACTGGGATGACCAGGGACATGTCTCCGGCCACCCGGCACCCCAGGGACACATCCTCGGTCATTGAGACCCCCAGGGATGTGTCACCGGTGACCAGGCACCCTAGAGACATGTCCCTGGTCACTGACAACCCCAAGGACATGTTCCTGGCCACCAAGGATGCGTCACCAGTCACCAGGCACCCCAGGGTTGTGTCCCCAGTCACCAGATACCATGAGGACTTGTCCCCGGCCACCAGGCACCACAGGGATGCATCATCAGCCACCAGGCACCAGAGAGACACAGTCTCAGCCACCGGGCACCCTGAGGACACGTCCCTGGTCACCAGGTGCCCCAGGGACATGTCCCCAGTCACCAGGCATCCTGAGGAGATGTCTCCAGTCTCTGGGCACCGCAGGGATGTGTTCCTGGGCAGCAGGTACCCCAAGGACATGTCCCCAGCTACCAGGCACCCTGGGGACCCATCACCAGTGACCAAGTGCCAGAGGGACGCGTCACCAGCCACCAGGCACCCCAAGGACAAGTCCTCAGCCAGTGGGCACCCAAGGGACAAGTCCCCAGTCACCAGGCTCCCCAAGGAGAAGTCCTCAGCCACCGCACAGCGCAGGGACAAGTTCCTGTCCACCAGGTACTGCAAGGACATGTCCCTGGCCACCAGGCACCCCAATACCCATCACCGGTGACCAGGCACCCAAGAGACATGTTCCTGTCCAGCAGGTACCCTGAGGACATGCCACCAGTCACCAGGCATCCCAAGGACACATCCCCAGCCACCAGGCACCCGAGGGACACATCCCCAGTCACCAGGCACCCTGAGGAGACGTCCCCAGTCCCTGGTCACCACACGGACACGTTCTTGGGCAGCAGGTACTGCAAGGATATGTCCCTGGTCACCAGGCACCGCAGGGACCCATCACCGGTGACCAGGCACCAAAGGGACATGTTCCTGGCCACCAGGTACACCAAGGACACGTCCCCAGCCACCAGGCACCCCAGGGACAGGTCCCCGCTCGCTGGCCGCCTCTCGCCGGTGCTCAGCGATGGAGTCCTCACACCGCAGCGGGTGGCCGAGGACCTGGAGACGGACCAGGACACCATCTGCCCCAGGTACACTCCATCCCCTTGGGACACCACCACGGTGGCAGCATCTCCCGGTGCCAACAGCGTCACCGCCGTGTCCCCCCCAGCCCCCCAGCGCCGACCGTGCCGCGGTCCTTCTCGCCGCCGCACACCTATGGCTACATCTACGGGCAACCAGCCCCCGAGCTGGGAGAGGAGGAGGAGGAGGG